GATGATTTGATACACTTATATAATGTGGGATGTTTGTCTCTATTTTTATTGAGATTAAATAAACAAAAAGCACAAATCTTCAGTACAGTGCATTGAATTTTTATATACATATGTACCCAAGGAGCCACCACCCACAGACTGAGAATATCCCCAAACCCCAGAAAACTCCATCATGTCCCCTCTAGTCAGCACTCTCCTCAAGAACAACTATTATTCTGACTGTAATAAAGGAGCAGATTTTCTCCTGGCCTTACAATTTTAAACTCTCAATCTGGTATGCTCCCAAGGTCCCTCTTCCTGTCAGGTTGCAAAATCCAATCATTGTTCCAGTCTGCCTTTCAGAAACTTTCTGCTTAGGTTTCTAGTACCTTGATGTGAACATTTCCTAAATTAACTATATTGTCATTTACTTGAGGTGCTCCAGAACAACCACCAACTCTTTCAATTTCTCGCCCTGTAGCAAGAATCTTTTATGGTGAAAAGCCTAGGTCTTCCTTCTTCTGTTCATGCCCAGGATCCAGAAATGATCCTGGGGTATACAAAAATTCCAGCTTACCCCTGAAGTATGCCTCTCTCTGGAGTTTTGGAGTCCCCAGGTAATTTATAAATTTATTCTAGATTGTACTAGACTGTGGGTTTACCACAAGCTATCCCATTTCACTCAAGCAGAAGTTTTTCCTTCAGTATTTGGAAAAGCCAGCTCTGCAGTTGGGAAATATTAAAAACAGTAAGACCCTCAGGTCTTAAGGGTTCATACTTTAGTAGGGGAAATAAACACATAAAGGTGAACTATTATGCAAAAATATATACATAATTCATAAAAACTATAATAATAATCTTAATAAAAATTTGTACAAAGTGTCATGAGAGCTTATCATAGGTTTTAGTTCTTTATAATATGTTGAGTGAGGTACCATGGAAATATTTGGGCCCTGAACCAGACCTTTAAAACTAAGAAGATCTCTGAGAGAGCAAAGTAGAGAAATGGTATTCTATGCCCAAGGAGGAGCATTAACAAAAAACAGAGGTATCAAAATTGAATGATATATCTGGGGAAAAGTGAATTATCTGGTGCTGCAGGACCATGGTATGATCTGGGTCTTGTAGGTAACTGACAAAACCAACTGTAAAACTGCACACATTCTGTAGATGCCATCACTGGAACAACCTTTCCCTGCATAGGAAAATGACTGTGACTTCCAAAGGCAGACTGAAACTCAGGATAGACTGTCTCAGGAGCCAGCTCTGGAACCAGCACGGCAGAGTGGGCAACTAAACTTATACAGAGCTTGCTAGTAATATGGATGAGTGACTAAGTAAGGGAATGAGTGTGAGTTAATGAGTAAATGAATGGGTGATAAATAAACAAAAATATAAAAATTCATTTTCAAAACAGGCTCATCACACAAACACAAAAGAAAGAAGACCCAAATAAATAAAATAAAAAATGAAAAGGAAGTAACAATAGACATCATATAAATACAAAGAATTTAAAAAATTGTGAAAAACTATATGACAACAAATTGGATAATCTAGACAAAATGGCTAAATCCTAGAAACATACAATCTTCCAAAACTGAATCAAACAGAATAAAAAATATGAATAGACTGATTAGAACTCATTAAATTGAAGCAAAAAGCAAACAAACAAAAACCCCAACAAACAAAAGCCCTGGACTGGATGGGTCACAGGTGAATTTTGCCAAACATTCTGAGAAAGACTAACACTTCTCCTTCTCAAACTATTTCAAAAAATTCAAGAGGAGTGAAAACTGCCAAGTTTGTTTTATAAGGCCAGCATTATCCTAATTCCAAAACTAGATAAAGGCACTACAAAAAGTAAAATTATAGGCCAACATCCATGATGCACATATATGTTAAAATCCTCAACAAAATATTAGCACATCAAATACATCAAAAGATTGTACAAATGATCAAGTGGGATTTATTCCAGGAATGCAAGGTTGGTACAACAATCACAAATCAGTAAATGTGATGTGCTGCACAAATAAAATGAAGGAAAAAAAATACCATATAATCTTATCAATAGATGCAGGAAAAACATTTGATAAACTCCAGCACCCTTTTATGATAAAAACTGTTAGCAAAGTGGGAACAGAGGGCACATACCTTAGTTGGGCAAAACTAAGAGCATTTCTCTTAAGAGTGAGAACAAGACAGGGATGTTCACTTTTACCACTCTTATTCAACATAGTACTGGAAGTCCTAGCCACAACAAGTAGACCAGGAAAAGAAATAAAAGGCATATAAATTGGAAAGAAAGAAGTGAAGTGTCATTATTTGCAGAAGGCATGATACTGTATGTAGAGAACCCTAAAGATTCTACCAAAAACTATCAGAACTGATAAATGAATTCAGTAAAATAGCAGAATACAAAATAAATATCCAGCTATCAGCTGAATTTTTATACACCAATAATGAACTATGAGAAAATGAAACTAAGAAAACAATCCATTTACAATTGCATCAAAATATAGAATACTTAGGAATAAACATAACCAAGGATGTAAAAGACCTGTACTCAGAAAATTATAAAACAGTGAAGAAAAAAATTGAAGATACAAATACCATATTTTTCCATGTATAATGTGCTCCCATGTATAGTGTGCACCCACATTTTTGGTCCCAACTTTCAGGGGAAAAAATCCTTTCATTTTAATTTTTTAATTCAATTATTTATTCTTTTATATTTAGAAACAAAACTGATTACCATATTCTGGGGCATTATTTTACACATGGATATCATTATTGCTTTCTAGAGTTACACTTTTAATGCGTAAGCATAAATAAAATAATTAAAGACATTTACATAGATATGGAATTAGTACTACCCATGTATAATGTTCATCCTTATATTTCCCTAAAAAAAGTGTACATAATATATAGCAAAATATGGTAAATGGAAGCATATACCATGTTCACAAATAGGAAAAATTAACATCATCAAAAGGTCCATACTACCCAAAGCAATTTATAAATTCAACATGATTCCCATAAGATATGGAACAATTCCAAAAACTTATATGGAACCACAAAAGACTGCATAGCCACAGCAATCTTGAGAAAGAAAAACAAAGTTAGAGGAATCATGCTACTTAATATCAAACTATACTACAAGGCCATAGTAATCAAAACAGACAAATAAATTGATGAAACAGAAACAAACCCACACCTTTATGGTTAATTAATATGTCACAAAGGAGACAAAAACATACAATAGAGTAAAGACAGTCTATTCAATAAAAGGTGTTGGGAGATATGGACAGATACATGCAAAAAAAATGAAACTAGACCACCTTCTTATACCCTACAGAAGAATAAATTCAAAGTGTCTTAAAGACTTAAATGTTAGACTTGAACCCATAAAAATTCTAGAATTTAGGCAGTAAAATCTCAAATAATTCTCATAGTGATATTTTTTTCTGTTATATTTTCTTGGCAAAGGAAACAAAAGAAAAACAAATATGACTACATCAAATTAAAAAGTTTTTGCACAGCAAAGGAAACCATCAAAACAACGAAAAGATAACCCACTGAATGGGAGAACATATTCTCCTATGATACATCTGGTAAGGGCTTAATATTCAAAATGTATAAAGAATTTATGTAACTAAAAACAAACAAACAATCCAATTAAAAGATGGGAAAAGGGCCTGAATAGACACTTCTCCAAAGAAGTCAAATGCTTGGCCAATAGACATATGAAAAGATGCTCAATATCACTAGTCATGAGAGAAATGTAAATTAAAACTACAGTGAGATATACCTCACACTTGTCAGAATGACTATCATCAATAGTCAACGAACAGCAAGTATTGGGGAGGATGTGGAAAAAAGTGAACAGTTGTGCACTGTTGCTGGGAATGAGGATTGGTGCAGCCACTGTGGAAGTTTCTTCAAAAAAATTAAAAATGAAAACTTCCTTATGACCCAGTGATTCCACTTCTGGAAATGTATTTGAAGGAATCTGAAACATTAATTCAAAAGAATATATATACTCCTATGTTCACTGCAGCATTATTTACAGTAGCTAAGATTTGGAAGCAGCCCAAATGTCCATCAGCAGATAAAGGGATAAAAAAGCTGTGGTACATTTGCATGGTGGAATACTATTCGACTGTAAAAAAGAAGGAAATCTTACTTTTCATAAAAGCATTGATGAATCTGGAGAGTATTATGCTAAATGAAATAAGTCAATCAGAGAAAGACAAATACCATATGATTTCACTGATATGTGGATTATAATGAAAAAATATACAAACAAACAACATAAAAACAGACTCATAGATACAGAGAACAGACTGACAGGTGTCAGAGAGGAGAGGGGTTGAGGGGCTGGGTGAAAAGGTGAAGGGATTAAGCAAAGAGCCCCTCACAGACAGAAAACATATGGGGATTACTAGAGGGAAAGGGGGGTTGGGGCAGGTAGAAGAAGGTAAAGAGATAAATGGTTATGGAAGGAGACTTGACTTTGGGTGGTGATGATTGTTTAGAATTGTACATTTGAAACCTGTATAAATTTATTAATCAATATCACCCCAATAAATTCAATAAAAAATTTTAAAGCACAAAAACTCCAAATTAAAAAAAATTCATATTTGCAGAAGTGCTTTGTAGTACTCTTACATCATTTAACTTCTGTCTAATTTTTCAGAAAGACAACTTCTGAGAGGGAAAACCCACATTCATCAGGTAGGCCAGGTGCTTTTAATGGTAAGAGCTAACTTTTCCTTCCTTTATCCTTCCCTAGATATGATTACTTACACGAGTCTCCCAGACCTTTGTCAGCTAGTCCCTGGGCTTTTTCTCCCCCTTCTTTACTTGAGATGCACCAGTATTTGACCTTCTTTTTAGTTATTGGAGAATAACTGTACATGAGGATGCTTTCCTGGGCACATGTGTGTTCACACGCTCACTTCCCCCAAATACCCACTCTGAACCATATAATGGATCACAGACTGGAGCCAGGAAACAGACAATGACATGAAGCACAGATTTATTAGGGGAGGAAATAAGACAGAAACTGAGGGAGGGGGAGCTGGGGAAGGAAATGAGGCAGGAGCTGTGCATCAGCCTCTGGTGTCCCTACTAACCGGGGTGGAATCCTAGAAGAAACCCAGATACATTTCTTGCTTTGGGACATGGATACAGCATAGCTGTGGTCAAGCTGAAGGTTGGAAAGAATGAGGCCTCTTCATGTCCACTTAGGAGAGAGTCAGGGTAGGGTATAAAAGACTTGGAGGCAAAGGTGATGTGTGTGAGTAGGGTCTCAGTGGGAAGAACTTCTGATAGTGCTTCACTGGACCCTGAGTAGGAGGAGGTGGAAGAAGGAAGGATCCATCTGGTAGTCTGGGTGGCAAGCAGGTTGTATTCCAGTTGATCTTTACTTCTGTTTACTCTTGGGGGTTTGCTGGGCCAAGGGGCATGTCTGCTGGGCAGGGACAGAGGTGCCCTTGGGTGGATACTGCTTCTTGGTCTGGGGAGCACATGGATCCTTGGTTTGGGATGCACACGTCTCTTGACATTTGACAGGTGGTGGCTGACAGGGCTGTTTCATCTGCTGCTGCTGGATCTTCTGGGATAGCTGTTGCTGCTGCTGCTGCTGCTGCTGCTGCTGCTGAGAAGACATTGCTGCAGGTGATTCTGAAAGAAACCCAGGCAGGGGACACCATGAGAAAGGCTCCCTCCCTGTCTTCTCTCTTCTGACACCTAGAAGAGTGTTTTCTCCACCAGCCAAGAATGTGATAAGTGATTAATAGCCTCAAATTGGTTAATGGATTGATTCACATGTACCCATTGTGATCCTCCCTTCTCTTTTTCTTTTTTCTTCTATGCTGTTTCATTTCCTATTTTCCTGAATCTTCCCATGGACTCCTCACTTAACTAAATACATACTTTATTTCTAAGAAAATAGAAAATATGATGGGTGTGCTGAGCTGATAATTAAAAGGTAGCTCAAATGTTTTACAAGATCAAGGCATGAGCTGATAGGTCTGGAGTGTCTACTGGTTGCCTTGGGTAGTGCAATGAGTGTGGGCAAGATGGATGGGCACAAAGAAGAGGCAGTCTGTGTCTTAGGGGAACAAGTGTGTAAGTGATGGGTTGGAGAAACCCTGTTCCAGATACTCAGAGGACTGAGTTCTAATCCTAGCTCCACCCCTGACTCACTATGGAATGCTAAGGCGAATCATTTATCTTGGTTGTGGGATAGTGGTTTTAGCCCCCCATGGAGAGTATATAAGGCCAAATAGACCACTGGAGTTAAGAGACTTATTAGGAAGATGTTTTGCCAAGAGGCAGCCTGGTTCAGGGGAAAGAGCACTGGCCACTCACTGGCCAGGCATACTTCTGGGCAATTTGGACCCCATGCCCTTACTTGGAGGATGCTGACCGAGTAGATCTCTGAGGCCTTCCAAGCTCTGATGTGTGTGTCTGATTTTCTGTGTAGGCAGCATTCCTCACCTTCTAAATTTGTGACTAGAAATGGGAAGTATTGTTCCCAGATGGCAATCATGAGAATGAGACAGGTAGCACATAGCATAAAATATAATATATAAAATATGATTTCTGTAAATCCAAAAGCAAAGTTTTAAAAGCTTATTGGTAGTGCCAATGAGAGCATGAGAAAGCTTCAAAGAAGGATCAGCATTGCCACCAAATGCTACAGCTGTAAATATATCCTCTTAATGAGAAAGATCCTCTTGCCAGGGAGCTAAACCCCAGAATCAGGAAACTAGTCACACCTAGCAATGGCACAGAATGGAGACTGAATTTCCTAAGTAGAGATTAGTGTGACATTTACTTAATTGTCATGAAGCTCATGTCACTTCTCTGATTAACTAAGAAAGATGAGGAGCTTAGCCTAGAGCTCAAGACAGTTCAGGAAGGAGGAAAGGGCTCTGCAGATCACTGGAAGACAAATGAGTTCCTACTTACCAGATCCGCAAGCTGGACCCTAGGAGAGGAGGTTGAGCAAGGTTCATAGTCAGTCACTGCTGGCAACCTTATAAAGGCCCCCAACCTGCCCCCCGGCACTTGGCGTGGCCCTGCTCATCACCTCCCAGGGAATTCTTCACCCACTTGTCCCACCTGTACTTCCTCCAGGGACTTGCTTTACTAGACTAGACTGTTTTGATGGAAAACACCCACCAGATATTCTAGCATTCTGTGTCTCATCTCTGTCTACCAGAGCTGACTTCACCCACTTAAGGCCTTTGCTTAAACTCAGGGACTGAAGATCTTTTGACAATAGAACAAATCTGAGGATCCATAAAAAATGCTAAGGAAGGAGGAAAAACAGCAGGGAGTATGACCTTGGGGCACTTCATGTTGCTGCCATTCACTGCTAACTCACTGATGCCTAGCACTGAAATTGCCCCTTACTGTCATTGTTTCATTTTATCTTTAGAGCCCCTTTAAGGCAAATGCCATTGTTACAGTTTTGCTGATGAGAAAAGTGAGGCTGGGAAGGATCCCATAGGTAGTAAGCAGCAGAGATGGGGCTGAACTTAGATGGGAAGTGTTCAAAGAACCCAGAGTTTTAAACATTATAGAGGGAGAAGTCAAAAGTCTAGCCACAGGAACTCTTGCACCTAGCCCTGTCCCACTGCACAGTGCTTTTGGGTTTCCCAATTCAGCAGGGATCTTTTGCATAGGATTTTATGTGACTTCTTGAGCACAAGCAGAAGGATGTGAATGGTGCCCCTAAGCTTAATCAACATGGTGCTGTGTCCCCAACCTGCCCACCAGGAGTCAGAACTGGTGAGTGACCACCACTAGGTGGCCAAAGAGGGTGGTATAGAATTTGGCCTCTGGATTAGGGCTGCCAGATAAAACAGAGTCCCAGTTCAATTTGATTTCAGATAAACAGCAGAATTTGTTTAGTGTAAGTGCATCCCAAATACTACATGAAATATACTACAAAATTTCTTGTTTGTTTTTTTTTTGAAATTCAGCCATAACTGGGAGGATTGAATTTTTATCTGCTAAATCTGGCAACTATATTCAGATGGGAGGAAAGAACTCTGGTCCTCCAGTTGGTTCCCTAATGCCTGGGGTTGGGAAAGGCAGGACTGCTCTGGGATACCAATCCCCTTGGGACCACTGCCAGGAACTGCAGGCCGACATGTTCACTTCTGCATTTGTTGAGCAAAGTCTAAGGCTGCCTAAGAAATGATAGAAATGTCTAGAAGTAATTTTCAAATCCCTGATTTAATCCTCATGGCAGTTATGTTGGGTAGTGTAAATAAAATTTTACAGTTTACAAAAGTAGACCCAGAAAAGTTAACTGACTGCTTGACAACATGTAACATGTAATGGAGTTGGGTGGGGACCCTGCCCCAAAACTCATTTCCACTCTATCACAGTGACTAGCATCTCCTTGGTGGACAAGTGACTGTGTCTGGGGGAACCATGACTAAGAATCTTGCCTGAGTTTTCCGTCATAGATAGACCTGATATTGCTCACTTTTCAGGGTTGGCTACTCTTAAAAGTTAACCCTTAATTTCCTCTCAAGGCCATGTCTCCTCCACTTCCTCTTCCCAAGTCTATCACCTTCAAGAATGGTTCTAGATTCTGGGCTCTGCATTCCATCTTGGAGATGAACACCCTCTCCACCTGCACCCTCACTTCCACACCCCACACCACTGTGTTCCTTCTGGTGCACTCTCCAAAAGGGAAATATGCAGCAACACAGAACTAGAAAGGATGCAAATCAAGACATTCTCATGTGCTTGACCTCTAGAAGGTGTGAGTGTAGGTATGCTGTGCATGAGGGGATAGAAAGTGACATCCCCTTATGTCTCAGTTACCACATAGCTTCTCTGGAATACACTTGTGCCCTTATTTTTCCCATTGTGCTCACTCACTGGCTTCTTACTTGATCAGTAAACAACTTCTGCTTAGTTTTCAGAATTCTAGCTAATGATAAAACTTGGCTTATAATATAACTATCATCTCAGAGGATACTGTTGGGATAAAGACCTAAAAACATGGCTGATCTTGAAGGGACCATGACTTCTAGGTCATAAATATCTAAGTCACCAACAAATTTGTATGCATCTAACACATTCAACTTTTCAAAACCCTGACTCAACTTTCCTGTTGGCCGCATTATTCCCATTTTATAGACAGGAAAACTGAGGGCTGGAATGGGGGCATGCTTTGCTCAAGGTCACAGGTTAATGTCAAAGCTGGGGTTGGATCACACGTCTCCTGACTTCACAGCTGTTTTCAGTGAGCTGAAGTGCTATTGGGCCACTGGGCTTCTTCTCAGCAGAGGCTATGTTAACGACAAACTAGGGAGTTGGTTCTGGTGGTTTCCATCTCTTGCACCAGTCTTCCTTCCTCTTTCCTCCCTAGCACTCAGGTGCTCTCTTTCCCACCAAGCCTATCTTCCCTACCTTCTCTAAGAGACCTGAACTGATCCCTGGTCCGTGCATTGACAGGCACAGGTGCATCTTTATTAGTCATTAAAGCTCATAAAGCACCTCCACATACAGTTTTCACAACACTCTATTAAGAAAGCTAATTGTATTATAACTTTTATGGATGAAAAAACTGGCTCTGATGGTAGCTGGATCCAGAATTCAGAAGAGAAGGCTGATCCAAGTCTCTTAAACCTGTAATGACTGATTTCCAGAGAGAGAGGACTACTCTTTCGAAAGAGAAAGGAGGAGGGAAGCCTTCCTGGCACCCCTGGACTTGATCACCACATATAAAAACTCCTGCAGGTATGGCACCCTGGGAAGCCAAGTGGAATGGTGACTCTGTAGCCCCTGCTCCCTTCCCCCCTGCCTAGCCTGGCCTCGGGACTATCACCTGGCCAGCTTGAGTCTTGCATCTGCTCTCTTATCCTCTAAGGACCGTGTTGTATTGAAACCAGAAGGCTAGGCTCTGCATCTTTCTTCTCTAGGGAGCAGACACTGGATAGCAGGTGTGTCCCTGTGACTCCATCAGGGAGGGGAGGCAAGACTCATTGCTGTGGGTGAATCAAAGCTTGAGAAACCCCAGCCCCACCCTGCAAACAAACAACAGGGTGACTGAGCAACAGAGACCAGACTCTGGGATGGGACCCTGCCAGAGACAATGTGAAGAAATCATCTATCTCTCTATCTAGACACAGCACCACCATGGCATTTTGTCTCTGGGCTTTGGGGGAAAAAGTGTTGTTGATAACCCCATCTGGAAACACACAGAACATATTTATTATGTTGTTTCTGAGATTGAAAGAAGAATAGACAAAAGAAGAGCTCTAGGTTACTCCTGAGAGACTTTTAGGATAGAGGACTGTATATGACAGAGAGAGCAAGGGAGCTTTGGGGCTGCCAACATTCCTGTATTTTAGCTGCTTATCCAGTAAAATAAAAAAATTAAATTTGGGCAAATTACATCTCATTTTAAAAGTCATAATCATGTCAGATTTACTTTATCTTAATTTTTGATTGATGCTTAACCAGCAGTCATGGCTTAGAACGTTTTAGTTTTGAGTTTCTCCCTGCACCAGTTACTTAATCTATCAACAAACCCTTCAGAGGATGCTTCATTAAAGAGACCCTGTGACCTTTTCTTAATGTGGGAAATCCATCTGCAACATGAATCACTTCACCCTCTAATTTGTTTGCAAGTAAGATGCTCAGATACTAACGTTAGATATTCTGTATAATGGTATTAAAAGCAGATCCTTGGAGAGAAGAATGAGATGATGAGTGTCCAGAAATATGTGATTAATTTATATCCTCCCTCCACCCCTGGTCCCTCTGTGATATGCTTTTCTACCAGACCTTCAACAGTACTGGGAGTTTTAGTGTGTGTGTGTGTGTGTGTGTGTGTGTGTTCTAGCATATTTTTTTGTTAGTTGGCTTACTACTTTATTTTTTAATTTTTTAAAATTTTATTTTAATTGTTGTTCAAGTAAAATTTTCTATCTTTTACTCCCATCCCAGCCCACCCACCCAGCCCTCCCTACCTTCCTCATATTTCTACCCACCCCTATTTTTTGTCCATGTGTCCTTTATACTTGTTCCTGTAAGCCCTTCCCCTTTTCCCCTGAAATTCTCTCCCCTCTCCCCTCTGAACACTGTCAGCCTGTTCTGTATTTCAGTGTCTGGTTATAGTTTGCTTGTTTCTTTGTTTAGGTTCCTGTTAAAGGTGAGATCATATGGTATTTGTCTTTTACCGCCTGGCTTATTTTGCTTAGCATAATGCTTTCCAGTTCTATCCATGCTGTTGCAAAGGGTAGGAGCTCCTTCTTTTTTTCTGCTGCATAGAATTCCATTGTGTAAATGTACTGGGAGTTTTATAAAGCAGGAAATGAAGTGCTGAACCTGGTGGGAAGCTAGTTCCAACAGAACACCCATAGATTGTCTGTCACTGGTGGAAGTTGAAAACTGGCTATGGAAGAAGAGTGGTGAGTGGGCAAAGTGTCTTTTTCTGGGAAGATGGCCAAAGTCAGCCTCTTGGAAGTCAAGTGGCACTGACACATAATCACCCTATCCTTAACATGACAAGTATAGTTAGAGACATAGGAAAGGAGCCAGGGGAGTAAAGAAATAGTTCGTCTAATCCTTGGCCCTCACTGGCTGTCAGATCTTGAGCACATCCTTTAACTTTTCTGAGCCTCGACTTTTCTATTTTCCAACATGAGGAGATTGGCTAACATTTTCCCTAAGGATCCATTAAATGCTAACATTCTATAAACATATGATTAGGTCTGGGAAGGCAGCCATGTTTCATCCAAGTGGGATTAATAGTGAGTTGAGAGAACTGAGGTTGAGTTCAGGCTCAACTGGAAAGAGCACTGTAATTGATTAGAGACATCTGCTATGAGAGGGCTGAGTGGCTACAGGTGAGCAGATAGTTGCCCCCGCTCATTTAGCCTAACATATGGAGTGATGTGCTAGTATTTATAAATGAGAATAATCATGAAGCCCTTGAAGAAGGAGAGGGATTATGAA